AAATGAACACTTCTCATCAATTATTCGGGGATGCTTGTATTGTAATGCGGATTTGCTTATATTGAATTAGCATCAAAGTTAGAGATTATGCACGGGGATACCTAAGACATTTTCACTGCGACTCCATTGCCTTGATCTATCGTTTACCTCCTCGTATGGTGGCAGTTTGACATTCGTCTTCTCAATGCATGTGGAAGGGGTCATTTAATGTACAAAATATAACAGATCCTGAAAATTCTAACAAAAATCCCTGCTTCAGGCAAAAATCACTAACTTTTGTCTGGCATCTCTAGTAAAGCTTATTTAGGCAAACCAGTACTTCACGTTGGTTTGTTGGTTTGGTTTTGGTTTTCTTTAGCCTTAATAGCAGTTGCATAGGAATTGATAAAATCCACTTTAATGAAATAAAGAGGTCAAAGGCCTTAGCTGTTACATATCATCACTACAAATGATGAGGTAAATGCAGAATGAAATAAAGAAAAAACTTTGTTGCAATTGATACAACAACCCTCTGTGTCTCTTAAGAGAAGAAACACTAGAGTGGCTCTAAAATCTTCTAAACTAACATCATTGTGTAAATCAATGCACTAGCATCGTAATAAAGTGTTTTACTTGACCAGATAGATATTCTGTGGTTTGAAACCTAAAAATAAATTGATTTTTTTAGAAGCTTTTTATGATCTTTTGCTGCTTTTTCAGTAAGAACCTTACATATTAAACTAGTTTTATCAACTTTGTTAATCTTTTCAACAAATCTACTGCATTCCGGTGTTCACCTTTTAAAGCTACAAGATGATTCTAAAATAATTGTAACAGAATTAGTTACGTCAGATATTGTAGCTATGGTAAAGCTTTCCTCCACTCACATACAAAAGGAGAGCTGTCATCTGTTAGTGTATCTGCTGTAACCATCTACTGTCATACCTGACTCTAGCTTTATGCAAGCAGCTCACTCATACAAGTAACCTACATAGCTTTTTCTGTTCCAAAAGCAGTTGCAATGTATATGACATTAATTTCTGCAGTTAGTGTGCTAGTTACGTTCTGGTGTTAGGTTATAAACTCCTACTTCATTGTAATCACTTTTTGTGTTGTACTTGAATAAAACTTTGGCACTCTATGGCCTAGAGTTTTACAAGCAGTGCTCCAAGATGCATGCTCCTGTTAATAGAATAATATTTTTCTAAAAGTGTATCAGCACGTACATAAGTGGAAAACAAATCACTCAGCTTTATTTGTATCTTTTTCTATAGGTCGTGCATGGAGAACCAAATTTATGAATCCACTCTTATGTTTTTGAAACCTAAGACAGTTATCTGAATCCCTGCTACCTGACATATTGTCACATTTTCTTTCATCTATTTGCCACATTAAAGAAATTCTTTGTATTTTAAATATCACTTCCCCTCTCAGGGATGCATGGAGAACTAAGGCTGTTTTGTAAACAGCTTTGCTGGATTAGAGTTGTATCTATAGTTGTATATATCATACACTATAAGGGGAAACCACTTAGAACAGCAGTGAAGCTTGTTTAAAGAAATCAGCCCAGGGCCATACCTGGAAATGCAAAGCAAAAATTATGCTTTTGTCAACACCAAAAAAATCTTTATGAGGGTGGAAGTACACTCTTTAAGGGCCACATGCTTGTCCTCTTTTGGTTGCTTAGCAAAGGGTAGTTCTGGCTTCACTGGAATAATGTTGCTGTCATTCCATACTCACCACTTCAGACCCTGGCATCATACAAGAAGGGAAAACGCTACTGTGCCCTGCCTGCTAGTCTTCCCTGTGCCACATCTCCCTTCATGTCTCGCTTTGTAATATTGGTAGAAAAGCCTGTTTCAGTTGCCATATCAGTTTCTCCTACACATCTAATCCAGAGCATTTTAATTTGACTATTAGGCATTTTTTGATTTGTGTATATGAATGTGAAATATAATAAGGAAATTATAGGGCCAAGTATTTAATAATGCCTTCCATCAGCTCCCAACCACATACATGGTGTTCTGCTCCCAGGAATGGAGAAGAAAATCCATCACCAAATTTGGTAAAGAAATTTGGGCACAGTACAATTTCTATACATTGCATGAAGAAAACACTACAATTCACTGCTGAAGCAGCAAATCCCAAATGACTCTCAAAAGGCTCCAGCAGCCTGGGTTGAACTGGAGAGAAATTTCTCCAGCTCTGCTGTCACACGCCGACCACATTCCCCTGCAGTACAGTCAGACGTGCAGAAGTCCCATCAGGTTTTTTCTTTACCTTGCACTAGCACTTCCCTGACTTTCCTGTTGGTACTTATAATCTTGCATTTTTGTGTTTGTTGAGCTTGTGTAACTGTACTCTTCACCAGGTTATTTTATTAAATTAGACTTAATGACGTGATATTTGCATTGCTAATATTTTTGGTGTGCTTTTGACTCTTGTTTGCCTTAAGGTATTGCTGAGTAGGGAGCTGCTGTGAGGCTAGTCCAGTCACAGTGCATCTTCTGCATTACTGGTAGTGGATAGGACCTAAATTTGATTGGAGTAAGTGAAGAGTAACAGGCAGGGAGTCTGGGGGAGGAACCGAGCAGGGATGCACTGAAAGGAACGTAAAGCTTGCCAAGGATTCAGAGTGGCAGCCTGAAAAACAAATATCCTGTTCTTTCTTCAAGCAAAAATGTTTCTGTGAGCATCGTATTGTTTTATCTCATTTATTTCATCTCCTTTAGAAGGCAGCCTGTTATGATTAATTAGGAATTGTTTTCAAAAAGCCTCTTGAATATGAAAAGACGTGCTTTACTTCATTATTATTTGGTCCTGTGAGTAAAAAGAACCATACCAATTTGTACTGGCAGAGTAAGAAAGGCAGTCATGGCCCACTTGGGTTCTTCTAAAGGCTTTCTTGGACAAAGATGTAATGTACTGTTCTGTTTCTGGTGAACCTCTCTTTCTGGGTCAAAAATCACTTTGAGTGTAAACACTGAAAACTCTCAGCTATAGAAAAGGTTCTCAAGTTGGGTTTTCAATTTATGCCCCCACTTTTTCATTTAATCCTGAATATTGTCTGGAGATGTAAGTTTATCATTCTGTTTGATGGTGGTTCTATTTCTCCTGTGTTTCAATTCTTGCTCCATTGAAGGGACCACAAAAATCTGTCCCCTGGCAGACACGTGCCCCCACAAGTCCACTCACATATGCACGAGGATCCCATACAAACAAACTTTACCACTTTCATTGCAAGTGTGGCTGTTTCTCTTTTTTGATACCTTCTACCACCAAACATGCCCCAGGAAATGTAGCTTTTTAACACGTGCCAGAAAGCAGCAGTAGACACCTCCAGTTAATTCCCTCGACAGACCAGCAAGCAATTAGACTATTTGCTCCTTGTCCTTTTCTCTTTCTGGGATTGAGAGAATGCCAAGAGATGGAAGGCTTCTCCTGCTTCCCTCACATTTTTCCCAAAAACCTCATAGCAAGAGCACGTTGTGTTCTCTGATTTCTTTCTTTCCATCTCAGTCGGCAGCGAGGTCTAAACGACGTTTCTAAGCCACAGTTACTTCTGTAATGGGTATTCACCTCATTCTTGATGCACTGTCAAAGCCCCGCGCTATTAGCTTACCATTCGCCCATGCTATTTGAGATATTGAGTTTTAGTTTGATAACAGCTCTTCTCCCCTTCTAACAAGACAAGTTTCTCACAGTTTCAGGTTTTCATGCAACAGATTTCACAGTTGCTTTGGCAATTACTGAAGTTTAAAAAAAAATGACTTTTTACATTGTTTGCTTTTAAAATAACAGCTGACTTTTACTGGCGTTATTCATGTTTTCAGCTATGAGCTTGTATGAGTGTGTGCGCTCAAAACCCAAACCCACTCACTCCCTCCCCCAAAAAAAACCCAAATCCCCAGCATTTTCATAGACGTGCAACACTAGGAACTCATTTTAAAGTGAAAAAAAAAAAAAATAGCAGCCTAAGACACACCTTAAGCTTAAGAGTAGACATTTCTACCTTCCTTGTATATGGTGGTTTCTCATGAGACTGATTGGATATGAATCAGTCGATGAAAATGTATCAGGAATCTTTTTCCCAAACTCCAACCTCATTAGAGTAGCAGTAATGCAGCCCCTCTCCCTGAGCCATGTCCCATCTGTCTGTCTAAGTGATCCATGGCTGCATTTCAGGTTTTGCCAATCACTGTGGCATTAGCAAGCCCTGCCATGTTAACTTGTTTGTCCATTTCAATGAATATTTACATCGAGATGAAACCTGGTGTGGACTTTCTAATGCATGAAAGGAGGGATGGGGGAAGAAAGACAAAATGCTCCCAAGTGTCCATCAAGGAAAATGTCTTTGAAATAAGATCTGTGTGTCTTCTTGAAAGCGAGAGACGCTCAGTGTCCTGTAGTGCAGATGTGCATAAATGAGCTACTTTAGGCTCTGGTAGGTCTGGTCTGGTTTGGGGATCATGGATTTTACAGAGGACTTACCAGTCCTGGTCCTCTGCTGGGCTGTGAAGGTTTTGCTGAGCCGTGTGTTGCTGCAGCCAGGTGATTACTGAAATGAGAATGGATTGCTGGAGCCTTGTATGATTACTAGAAGTAATACTTTTTTTGCAGAGGAAAGGAGAGTAAGTCTGTATGTAACAACATTATTTTGTTTGACTTCTATTATTTGACATGCTAAGTGTTTATAGTTGCCTATGTAAAAAGTACAGGCTTAGCAAGAAGGCCAGGAGCTTCTTCAGACCCTAAGACAAACTGCAAGTGAAATGTGTTCCTGAGTGTGTGTAATCATTTCTCTGGCTCTGCTCTCGCTATGTCAGGCAATGAAGGAATTCACAGAATCACATAATTTATTTTTTTTTAACCCATTTAATGTGCACTACTATTATATACTACAAATTTAAAACCTAATATGGCTTTTTTATGATGTAAAAGTAAATAATATCTTTCAGAATGCTCTCCTAAGCTCTGTAGTCACTTACTTTTTTCTTTTTTTTTTTCTCTCCCTCCACCAGGAATCTTTAATGACTGGAAAACTCAATGGATCATGTTTTTATAATCTAAGCTATTTTTACCTTGACTGTGCTGTAAACACATGGAGGAGCTGTAAGTAAATGTTCTGTACTGCATGATGAATTGGATTGCTACAGTCTGGAGAAAAGCAAAATAATAATTTCATTTCTGTGGTGATTTGCGTAGCTTGTGGTACAATGCCAGAAAGACTAACGGAAATGCTTATGGATACGTGGACTCCATTAATAATATTATGGATTACTGTCCTTCCTTCCATTTGTATGGCTCCAATGAATCAATCTCAAGTACTACCAAGTGGATCTAGTACAGGACTAAAAAGGCTAACTGAAGAACAAAGAGTTTTGAACCGTTCCAAGAGAGGCTGGGTTTGGAATCAAATGTTTGTATTAGAAGAATTTTCTGGACCTGAACCAATACTAGTTGGCCGGGTAAGGCAAGATTATTTTTTTTTTCTCTCTGTGTATTGAAATGCACAGCATATGAAGGTCTGCAGTCATACTCTTCTAAGAAATTCAAATTTGAGGTGCTTTGTTATTCTGAAATTCTTCTCAAATATCGATACATTTTTGCTATAAATGTACCTCAATTTAAGGGTATGGTTTGCTGATTAGATAACCTGCTATTTACAACAAAATTATGCATATTCAATTTGACAGAAATATCCAAGCCATGTATGTATCCTTTCTTTGATATCGTTAGTCATCACTCTTCACCTCTGTCAGCTGCAGATTTTCACCAAAGCAGCTCTTTGTAATTTGTTCCTAGTCATTCTAAATATATTCCTATTCATTCATTTAAAAAGGTTTTTACACCTATAGGTCATTTTCTGTCTCCAGCCTGATCACACAGAAGTTATTTATGCTCTGAGAACTTTTGAAAACCAAAACAGGAAAGGAAGGGTGGTATATACAGCAAATTACAAGGTACTAGTTTATAGGAAGGTCCTGATATGCACAAATATGAAATAACATTATTGCCACAGATTTTGTAATTTACTTTCAAAGTCAGAAAGATAACACAAGGAAAATGATAGTGTTTTTCTATGCGTCCTGGCTTGCTTGGTGCCTTAAACCTTTGCTTGTTGCCGTGCATTAGCTTGTTCTGTAGCTCAGTGTATTACCCCTAGTCAGTGAATCAGCCTTGCACTTTCTGTAAACAGAGATCACGGGCCATCTGCATTCATCAGGAATGAATTCTCTTTAGAATTCTTCTTAGAAAAGAAGTATCTGTTCCTAAATGCATGTTTAGCCTATATAAATAAGCTAAGTTATAAAGAGCAGTTATAAAACAGAAGTTATAAATATCTTGGTTGTTTATCACTAAAGTTCAGTTCCCTTTGAATAATCAGGTAAGTTATTGTCATAGCACCTGGCTACTGAAATGGAGTAAAAAACCTAGAAAACAGAAGTTACGGATATCAGTTAATGGTAATTTTTAAATTCTCTGGGTAAATTAATAGTATATAGTATTATATAGGGACTGTCAATAGCTATATCTATTATTGAAGAGAACACACATCAAGTGCATTCCTAAATTTTCCCTGGTGTAGCCACTTCCCAGTTGAAACATAGGGTGAGGAGGTGTAACGAGCTTTATATCCAGTGACTTTTGAGCACTATGTTCATTTGTTTGTATCAGGTATTATATATCTGTTCTCATTTGTTTCGCCATGATTACTAACACATCTATTTCAACTAGACAGTGGTATGCTTATTTCAAATCTTAAAATATTTTACCCGACCAATTGTTTTTAGAATCTTTTGGCAAGGCTTTTAAAATGATTTTGAGTAGCTGGGGAGAATCCTGAATTTGTACTTTGCAGTACTTTGATTTTTAGGGTGTATCCAAGTCTTAATATTTTTACAATATAAGTTTTTTTTGATGGATATAGTATCCTGAATTGTTCAAGTCAGTAGCGAATAGGAGTGTGTGGGTTAAACTAAGCCAAACCAATAAAGACATTATCCCATCTTGTGCTAGCATTTTGAATAGAATTAGCTACTCTAAAATGCTGTGACAATCTATTTGTTGAGACTGCTGCATAATTAAAACACTGCATGATACAGATGGAAACAAGCAAAAAGCGAGATTTGCTCTCATAGGGAGAAATCCTTCGTTTATTCATGAAATGGCTTAAAATATTCTTGTAATTCTTGTCTGTATTTTTTCACTCTCTCTAGAAAAATCATTTATATTTCTGACTTATTTTTCTTTCCTGAGGTTTACGAGTACTATGGGCACTTTCAAACTCTGCTGTTGTCAGTGAGAACAGAGGTACTCAACATCTTTGAGCTGCTCTTAATCCTTCTTGACTATAAAGCAACAACTCCCTCAATTATAGTTCTTGGCAATCCTCCTTCCCAAAACTTAAAGGTGTACAGAATGTCACAAGCAAAATTCTCTTCTCTTCTCCTTGAAGTTGGGCTATGGTTTGTCCTCTGTCATGCTTGTTTTTCTTTTCCATTGCAATTTAAAAAGTAACCTCCTTTTGAGAAATCACAGTAGATCTGCACTTTCCTCCTCACCTCTTTTCTAATTACATTCTTGGGCAAACCTTTGAGTTTTGCCCCCTGCCAAAGGATTTGCACACTTGGGGTATCTCTTGCATTCTCTGACTTTCTTTATCAACTATGTGCAAGTTCTTGCACAAACAGTATACACACAAGTATAACTTTATGTATGTTCTCAAATATACCTTTAAAGCCCACTGAAAATTCAGCTCTTAAGAACTACTCAGAATAATATTGAAACTTAAATCATGTTTTTCATTTTAGTGGGTGGAAAGGCGCCGAGTAGCAGCATTTGATGGTAATGGAATTGAAATGTATATCAGCAAAATAAAACTGAAAATTGAGATTAATTATAATAAATATAAACAGAATACAAATCACTTTCTAACTAATAGCCTGAATATAAAGTCTATGCAGCCATTCTGTTAGTTAAAAATATATCATACCAGAGGTTCTGAAGTACAGAGAAAGTTTAGCGAGACTGGATTTACAGAGATAGGTAATATCCTTTATTAGGCTGCTCGTTTTTTCTGGGAAGAACAGCTTCTAGGCATAAAGACCCTTCTTTAGAATTTGAAGTGTTGCAGTACAACTGCACGCTCTTCAAAGGTACTTATTCATTGCCATTCTGTATGAATATATATTAATAAATACATACCTGATGTACTTGGTCTAATAAAGGAAAGAATTTGGGGTGAGACTAATAAGAGGGTTTCATGTGACTTCTTTATTAAAGCACGGTGGTTTTCTTCAATGACTTGAGTAAAAGACAGGAGAAAATCTGTTTCTTTCATTCTTGCAATGAGTTTGAACAATATTAACTTTTAATGTCCATTTTCCTCATTATATTCAGTAGGATCAAGCTCAAACATAAAATAAGCAGCTCTACTTGAGTTCACACATCTGTAAAAAGGTGTGTGAATACCTGTCTCTTAGGGTGACTTCTGAATTTGAGATTTCTCTATGAAATGCTAGTTTTTCTTTTCTGTCTGTGTTAATATTGCATTTATTTTGACACATAGTATGATAATAAGTTCCATATCGTTTTGATCTTTACGTGTGGAAATGTATATATGCATTTCGAGAAACCTACAAAGGAATCTCGTGCGTCTTTGTGTGACGTGTTTCCAGTGAGGTTGGTTCTGTTCACAGCAGTACAATGCAGAAGGATAGATTTACAAATACCCTTTCGTACTTTTACTTTTTCATCCGTAGGAACAGGTAGGTACTTCCCAAAGCTACTTTAGAAGAGCCCGTACACTGTGATATTGCTGTCAGCACTTTGCCGGGCTCCCGGTGGCTGACATCCTCATTCAGGTGCAGCGCGGTGCGACACGGCGCGCTGTCCCCGCGGACTCCATTAGGGAGAGAGAAGTTTTACTTGAAACCCAGCGCTGCGTCGCCTCGGCCTCCTCTGCATCCGCTCCCAGCGCCGCGGCAGATGTGCTGTGAAATCTGCCGTGCAGCAAACGCCACTCTTCTGTCACAGGAGACAGGCGCTGAATTCTCAATGAAACAGATAACGCAGTTAAAAAAACATTCGGAAACTAGGGTTTGGGTGAATGTTTGTTGCTGATGTTTTATGGAGCGTGTGTTATTTGTGATGTTTTAAATGGATAAGATCTGGTTTAATAGAGATTTCTAAGCAGAACTTGGGGTAGTTAATGTGTTAACAGTTGTCTTTTGTAAGTTGGAGAGAAAAAATGAGGGAGTGAAGGTGACACAGGTTTGGTGGGTTTGCCTTGGGTTTTTTTTTTTTGTCTTTTATGATCCCTGACTAACCATGAAATGAATCAGCAGAATCAGCAGTCCAGATGCCAAAACCCACTGATGGTCATTCGGGTGGGTGCTGTTTCTGTGATAACCCTCCTCTGGCAGTACTCCCCAGTTTCTCCCAGACCCTTCCCCAGACCTTCTTGAATTTACCTCGTTCCAGTCTTAAGGTAACATTTTGCATATTTTGCATATAGTCTCTGTGATGAGAGACTTGTAAAAGGAGCAGGCCGGGGAACAGCAGCCCTTTTGTCCCTGCACAGCCCTGATGCCAGGCCAGTGGCGTGTGGCCGGCAGGAGAGATGTGCCAGCTCTGAGAACCTGCTCTGAAAAGGCAGGACAGGGGAGGAGACAATCCAAACCAAGCTGCTGAAGGAGTGTGATCAGATCAACTCTGCCATGCAGTGCAGTCTCAGGTAGACATTTTTAATCTGTGACTATGGATTTTTTTTCTTCCTTGCTTCTGATTTACATGGTATGTGTCTTTCAGTCTGTTAAATGCAGGTTTGGTTTTGGTTTGTTTTTTATATTTATAGGATGATGCAGATAGGTACCTTTTCCTTTTTAGAGCAATGGAGATTTTCCCCTCGATGTACAGGGCTTAGGTTCAGGCCTTTTGAGGAGAAATCATTTTCCTGTAGGAGGAGCAGTAGAGAGGCATCATGTTTTCACAGTTAAGTGCTTCAGGCTGCTATACTGTAAAAACCGAACCTGGAAATGCAGAGAGCACTTATAAATAGCTTCAAGCTGTATGTTCTACATTATACATACTTTATGCAATCTTTGATTTCATTGCCAACATACATCTTATCTCTTAACAAGGAAATGGTAAAATCTTACTTGTTTAAATTTATAAATAGTTCTGTTGAAGTACAAGTGATACATATATGCAAAGTAAATAAGGTTTTAATTGAACCAGTTCTTTCCATATGTTTTCCTTTTTATTCCTGCATTGAGCTTGTGATTATAATGGCTGCCTGAAAATACTGTTGTACTCAAGTGATACAAACCAGAAATGTATATAACTTAGGCTCTCATTACTTCAGGGATGAATTGGACGCTGTTTGCCTGAATGGAAGAAATCATTGGGAAATAGAGGTGTAGCATAACCCTAGCATAGGCTTCATAGGGTATAACGTGGTCCT